GCTGGTGAAGCTCCTTCTGTCAATATTCTCTGTAAAATCTTTGCTCTGTTAAAAGTTATGGGTATTTTACTATTGGTTACAGTAGGACTGACATTTCATATCTATAGTGTAATCACACATAACAGCAATATTGCTTGTCTGGTAATATAAAGTCTGAAGTAAAGCAGATTCATTATGAAATGCAGAGATGCTAAAGGAGATCTTACAGAAAAAAAATTACCAATGATTTGTCATTAATTTCCTAATCTTTACAATGGTATCTCTTAGTGTTTATTTCCAACGATACCTATAAAGCAAAAAAATGACAAATATATAAATGAGGATGAGAATATACAAATCAGTTACTGACTAGTAGTTAATAACCATCTGCAGCAGCAGCAGAACTCTTACAAGATGATTTTTAGTAATATTTGGAAGTTTAATAATTTTAGAGATTCTCTTGAAAGAGCTACTTTTTGTAGAATTTAATGCTTTACTACAGTGAACTTCTTCACATAAGCAGAAGAGTCAAGGCATAGAAATAATTTTGGGGGAAATCAATACTCCAGATTGTTTACCAAAATCTAGCCCTGGCATATTGCTGCAACCTCAGCTTGTGCTTATTTTCATGAATCCTTACATCCAAAAGCACTGCTACTGTGATTGATTCATCATCCTTTTAGGGACTTGAATTTTATTTGTAAATATCACTCTTTTGGAGGGAAGCAATATTAAATTCTTTAAATAAGGATGAATAAAAATTATTATGAAAGCTATCAGTGGGCTTTCTTCTGTAAAATACTGGCATCCGTTTTCCTCAGACTGGTTCTTTAAAATCCATTCTGTTTATAGATTTGCAAACTATTAATATTAAAGAGCTATTCCATGATTACAAAATCCATTTGCAGCAGAATATTTTTTTGGGGGGGGGCAAAAAGAGGTCATTTCACAATCTAGAAAATTACAGTACATTGTTCTGTCCTATATTCTTAATCTCCAGTTATATAAACAGTTTTATTTATTCTCCAATTCATTTTGCATCTGGGTCTCTGATTAAGATTGATCCTTAGCTACCTTCCCCTTGGTCTCTGCTTTGCACTAATATCTAGCAATCATTTTGTCAAAATGACATTCTTCCTAACCATCTAGAGTGTTGAATTTGCTTTAGCTGATAGGAACAGCTGTTGTTTCAAGCTAATGGAAAACTGTCAGTTGGGCATTGAATTAGCATTATTGTATTTCAGAAAATGTGTTCATGGTATGTCAGGTTTGTTCATTTCCCAAGTAGCAAGCTTACATGCCTAAATACAAGGTTCATCCGGTCAGGGAGGTGTTTAGACTCTATCTTTTGCAGGAATAGTTCAGGATTTGTTCCATTCTATACTATCCCTTCATTTTACAAACGTAGGAAAGTCGGACTTCAGAGAAGAGTTGGAGGGAGAGTGGAACCTCAGTCTTCAAAACAAGTTGTTCTCTCTCGTCTCTAGTAATTCTGATTCCTTTTTTTCTTTTGGTCACTTTCGGTGGGGTTTTTTGGGGTTTTTTTGTGGGTTTGTGTTTTTGGTTGTTTGGTTGGTTTGGTTTTGTTGGGGTTTTTTTGTTACATTTATGTCATTCTTCCCCCTCCTGCTTTTTTTTTTCATGTATCCCCATTCTATAATAAATAATATTACCATAGGGGGGAAAAAGTTGAAAAAATAATTTAAATTCATATGTTATAAAGCCCCAGGTGAGAGTATGAGAAATACATTATCTCTCAGAAGCTGAAGAGAGAAAGTGTTGCCACTATGGATCAGACACAGCACAGTTCAATTTACTTCTTATGGCTAATATAGAGCTTGGTATGTAGCTCAGCTAATGTTCCAAAAATGTATACTTTGCTCTGCTTTTATTCTGTAGGTTCTGATTTTATTAATACAATATAATAGAGTAACTATTTGATGTATAGTTTCAAACAGGAAGGAGCTTTTTCTCATATGTCTGAATGAGGCCATGCTGCCTGATATAGTTATGCAAGCTGTAGTTTGCTGGTACACCTGTCTTTCACATGTATTTTTCAAAATTCATTCCGAAGTTTGAGATGCATTTGGAAGGCTGAGGTACATCTGTGTCATCCCTCTTGGTGTCATACTTCTATAAAGGACACAGCATCTTACAGAAAATAGGAAACGTATTTCATTATTTGCCAACCTTGATTCTTTTCGTGCATTTTGAAAGAAGAAAGGTTTTCATAGTTTTTCTGGTATTTCCTAAGCATAGGGAGAAATAGGGTGTTTTTTCTTTTTCTGCTTGTACAGAAACTTTTTCCCCCATTCATATCCATGATCTTAATCTTTTAGATACCTGAAGAGTGTACGAGTGTAGCACAGAAGATTTAATGTGTGTTTGGAGTTAACTGATGTAACAGTTACCTTCCTTGTACTTGGCAGTGAGATGGATTTATCGCATGGTTAAAACACAGGAGTTTCTTCACTTTTGTCATGTGACCTGAAGTCTGGATTCACACATTTACGTATGCCCAACCAGTATTCCTTTTATATAAGAGTAGAAACCTTAAAATATTAATATAGGAGAACAATTGTGCATATATCTAGTTGTAAGTACATATTTTTTTCTGAAGCATTACTCATGTAATGTATTGTTTTAGATTTCTGCGTCTCTCCGGTTTTTATGATACTTTAGTAACATGCAGAGGAAACTTAAAACCACATTGTAATGTTTGCGTATTCGCTTGTGCATACGTCTTGTGCAAGTGTAGCCAGTAACTTAAGGGAATCAGCATTTCCTTATGTAACATTACAATTTCTTCAGTTAGCGCTGGTTTAGCTGTTTTTTTACTTTATTTCTTTTCCCCATTCTCTACATTTTGTTTGAACTACATTTTTGGAGTGTTTTAATGAGAACACACCTGATGTTTCTTATTTGATAGGCTTTTTTTTGGTTGGTTGTTTTTTGTTTTTTTTTGGTTGATTGGGTTTTTGGTTTGGTTTGGTTTGGCTTTTTTAATACTCATAAGTATTTCAGTCTTTCTTCTTTCACTACACTGATCGGTGAGTTTATGTATATATCCGTGTGAAAAAGCATTTAAAAAGGAGTTGTGTATTTGCATGGACTCATTGTCTAGACATGATACTAATTAGATTTCAGTTGTATTTTCTTTCTGGAACTTCTGTTTAGTTGGTTCTGAACGTGTATTTATAAAAAAACATCCTTAAGCTTCCTTGAGAACCAGTTGCTCTACTTATCTGGAAATGACCTCTTGCAGATGAGTACAAATGCACAAGGAGATGGAAACATATCAGTGAAGTCTCTGAAACATTTCTTTTGATGGCAAAATCATCTTTACATCTTACTAGTCTTTCAGGCGTGATGGTCCTACAGTAGAGTGAGCTGAGTTCTGGTCCTTTTAGTAAAGTAAAGTAAAATAAAGTAAAGTAAAGTAAAGTAAAGTAAAATTTTTCACTAAGTTCCAGATGCTAGATGCTACTCTTAAGTTCTGCTTGTGCGAAGCCACACAGGCAGTTTGCTTTCAGAGGGAAGGCAAAACCTGTAGAGTATTTCACATTCAGAATGATATGGGAACTAGAACCCTGCAAGAGCTTGACAGGGCTAGCCCTTGCAAAAAGCATTATTTGAGTCACAAACTGAGTGCCAGAGGCCATTGAAACTATGTAAATGCTGATTTATATAACAAAATTTTTGCAGGTTTTATTTGGGATATGAAAATCAATAAACAATAGAGAACAAAATTCTCCAGTAACCTGTGAAAAACAATTGGATGTGAGTTAATAGTAAATACTTTGGATTATTAACCACGCAGTAAAAATAAATTAAAATTATTCTTACTAGTGTTCCTGGCATAGGCAGACAAGAGGGTATTTAACGAAAATCAGTGGCTAGCAAATTTAGAACAAATGGAAGTAATCACTGTTCCAGCACTATGTTTTATTGAATTAATTGTTTTTTGTCATTACATAAAATGTTTGTATTTATAATATTTGAGATAATTTTATGATCATCAATAGTACTTGCATTTGATACCATAATGAGAGTTTTAAAAGATAGTTCCCATATGTGATGTAAAACAGTTCTCCATAGAAGTTACTGAAGTAATTACTCTATCTACTGGTAATGTCTTTTGGTGGCAAGTTACTGTTCATCTTATATTGTCTTTTTTAGCATGTTGGAGCTTTTTTCCCAGACTGAGTTAATCTAGTTTATGTCCCTTCATCTTTTTTTCCTATCAACTCCTTACTTTTGTCACTTGGTAAAAGGGAAAAAAGTCAGTCTTGATACCAGTGAAGCTGTTGACATGAAACTTTGATTTCTGACATGGGGGAATACAGCGTACTGTGTCAACATTATATTCAATACACAACCAATGAAAACTGGACTAAAAAATAAGAAAGGGCGTAAGAGCAGCCTTCAGCTGTGGAATTCTGCAAAGACTTGAGATAAAGGCAACATCTCTAGCTTAGAAGAGATCTATCCACCATAACAGGCTGTCTTAGGATGTTGTAGAAACTCTTTCCTGAACACGTTAGATTAGCCATCTCCCAAAGACTGTCTACATATATATTTAGTCCAGCTTCAAAGTAGGGGGCTAAGTTAAATGATACATGGAAGTCCTCTTTAGCCCTACATTTCTCTTTTCTTTATTTTTGAGTCTTTCTGTTGTTTTTTGCAGAATCATATGTGGGTTTTTCGTTATACCTATTTTAGGAGGAGTAGGTTAATTTTCAAAGTATGGAATTTAAAATTTTAAATAGCTGTCTATCAGTTTGATCTCTATAGCACTGGAACACTTCAAATTTATGCAAAAAGGCAAAAGTGCTATGTATTAATTATCATATTGCTAAGTTACCTTGTAATTCATAAATGCTTTTTGTTTTGCTGGGCATACTGCAAGGTATAAAATGTAGTCAGTAAATCACAAATAACTTTTTAGTCCTTGAGTTACTTGCAGAAGTGAATGGAGTTGGAGTAGTGCAGTAAATATTCTGTTTATTTTGCTTCTACAGAAATGTATCTTCTGCAGACAGAGAGTTAAGAAGATCTCTGGTGCCTGCATTCAGTGTTCATATGGACACTGCACAACATCCTTCCATGTTACCTGTGCCCATGCTGCAGGAGTGCTGATGGAACCTGATGACTGGCCATTTGTTGTCTACATGACATGTTTCAGGCACAAGAAGAACCACAATGTGGTAAGGAATGTGTTTCATTATTTGTTAAAAAATGGAATTTCAGAATTAAAGTAATGTTTCCAGAGAAAACGGAAGAAAGGATCTGCACTATGTATTATAATAGTTCTGGCTGTCATATTTCCATACATTGCAATCTATTACATCTTAAAAATTTTTTCTTATGCTGTTACCTGGGAGAAGTGATACCTGATATGCCTAACAGGTTTGCACTAAAGTCCTTTTTGAATATATTGTTTTGACAGCCAGAACAAATCCCTGAGTTCTCTTGTTTTGTTAGCCTGAAGTGTATTATAAATACTCAGATCATAACATCTTGCAAATACTCACAGATCCAGTGAGATAATGGATATGGTGTATATGTAAGATCTTTGTTCTGCAGCCAAACAGTCTTTTGAAAATACCCGATTATAATTATTCTGTCATCTGGCAAAGTAACACTGGCATGCTATGAAAATTCATGTTATGACTGCCTTTTTATTTCTATCCTGTGCTGAGGAGGAACCTTTTAATTTTAGATGAGACACATGAAGAATTACTTTAATGTCTTTTATTTAAATGGTTACTATCTCAGTTAAGAGAGAACTCTTACCGTTTATCATGGGCTTTTAAAACTATATTTTATTTCCTATCAAACTAGAAGGTCTTCACATGGTCTTATTAAGGAAAGAGCTTGATAAGTTAGTCAAGTTGCAGATTTTTTTTCTCCTTTATGCATTAGAATTGAAAGACATAAACCCAGGTAATGTCTGTATAATATATATTGGTCTTTCTAGTGCTTGTCAGTGAATCCTTGGTCTTAATGACAAGACTACTGAAGAGTAAGATTGTGTTTTGAGTGTAGTAAAATTTAATGCCTCCCAACTAGAGTAATCAGTCTTGAGTGTTCAATCTGCAGGTTGTTCTTTGAAAGGGAGATATATTGTGTATGCCTATATAAAATTTACGTGGAACTGTTAAATTTTTTGAATATTTTTGTTTTCCAGAATGTATGAACATGTTAAACCCGTACACTTGATATGGTTTTAGTTTCTTCAAACATTTTTCAGGAAAATGAGTTTGGTTTGAAAAACAAACAAACAAACAAACTTAAACCTCTGTCTGTACAGGCAACTTAAGGTATTTCCTCGGGTTTTTTTAAAACATTATCATTAGTTCAAAATTACTGGATTAAAATCATGGCCAGTAAAAATAGGGCTGTTCTTCCAAAATGTTTTCTAATATTTGTTTGAGACAAGTCTTTATACTCAAGATAGTGGGAGTTGCATCAGTTCCATTAATTACATGTTTTCTTAGTGATTTGCTTGACCTGTATTAAGTCGTGTCAAAGAAAAAAAAGCCACCAACTATGGGGAAACAGGATTTTATGTAGCTACTGTTTAAGAGCTTGTGTGAAGGACATTCAAAGTAGCTTGGAATGGGACTACTATATCCTTTCCTGAAACTTAGCACCAACATTTTTGAAAAAAATCTGGTATTATTACCTTTTTTCCCCCGTGGTTCAAATAAAAATCAGGTTTGCAGAAGAGAAAGAAAAATTATGCTTTTGTGTTTTTAAGTGGGCCAAAATTTGGAAAGATCAAATGCTTTGTTAAAGAATCTTTTTCTGTAAAATTCTTAACTTACTCCTGAGACAAAGGAGGTTGCCATATGTTTTTACATGCTTAGTTTTATACTCTGTCTTTTGAATAATTAATCTAATCACATGTTTAAGCCTTTGGAAGTTTTTTCACCATTGATTTTCTTGTTATGCTTTTCTTAGCTATTAGCTATTCCTTCAAGCAGAAATTACATTGCTCTTCACCATTAGGTATAGTAATGAACTTTTTTTTTTTGCTGTTGTTTTAGCTTCCTTGCTTAAAAGCATGGATTCGTTTTGGTTAAAAGAACTCATTCATACACAAGAAAATGAGAAAAAGAAGTTGTATGCAACTATTCTAACAGGGGAAAAAAAACCAAACCAAAAATACCTTTTCAAAGCCACTCAAAAAACCTCCTGAAGGATTCATATAAGATTAGCAAAGACAGCACTGAGGATCAGGGAAAGCTGGCTGGAGACAAGCGTATGCCCGGAGCTGATGTTTCATTTGGAAATTGTGAACAGAAGAGGCTATCTAGGCAGCCCCAGTTATGTTGAAAGACTAATGGTCTTTAGAAAGGGCAAAGACAGGGGGTGCCAAAACCCTGCTGTTGCTACTTTTGGAGCTATTTAAAATTATCTTCTACTATTAACCAGCTCTTAGCCTCTCTAGCAGACATGGAATGAAGGGGTGCTGTCAAGGGGAAGCTGTAGATTCTTTTCCTAGTGAAAAACTGAGTAATGCATTGTTTGCCACTGTCTGCTAACTACTGCCAGCCCCTGAACATTTCAGAGAGATGAAGGCATGCCTTCAGAAGGGCATGTCATTCAAAAATCATGAGCTGGCGTATTTTTGAAATATCATGCATAGTTTCTGTGCCTAAATTGGAGTTCCAAGGAGTAAATGATGATATGAGAGTTATACTCCTGTATCAAGTAAATCTCAGACTTTTGAGGATCCTCTCCCGAAAAAGTTTCTAGGTATTTAGATATACATTAGATACCTATTTCATGATAGTTATTATGAATTCATATATACATAGTTTATGTATTTAACAAGGGTTTTGTGTACTGCCATGCAGAAAATGAAGGAGAAAGTAATTTTACCTCCTATTGTTTTGAAGTTTGCACACAGAAAGGGAGATTAGCTTTTTTTCTTTGTATCTGGTTGTTTTCTGTATTTCTGCCACTATCTTAGTTCATCCTTGGCTTTCATACCATTAAAGAAAATCATACTTTTTAAACCACAACTTTCTCAATAATCTGGTTACTACCACAGCTGTTTCTTTAATCTGATAGACTCCTTTACATAACAGCTGTCCTTTCTGATCAAAAGTGACATTCTTAACATCAATAAATTCTTAAGATTTTCTGTCAGGAAATGTTTTCTGGGACATGCAATCAATTACAGAGTGCGCTTGTGAATGTTTTTCTCTGAGAAATAAATCTACAATCCTACCAAGATAACATACTAAGAAATAATCTTCTCCTTGAGCTAGAATGCATTTCTTGGTTTTACTATTTTTTTAATGAGAAACGGCATTCCTTCTCTGAATATTTTATCATTAAAGGAATCTATATTGTCTCTTAAAATATTATAGTTTGCCCTCCAACTTCTCTGAAGAGTTACATCTTCTTTCAGAGAAGATTTAAGCCTTTTAATAGAACTATATCTCCTTGTGTTTCTATAATACAATACTTCTTCTATTATTTCATATAAATAAATCAATTAATAGTCTTTAGTTTACATCTGATCCACTCCCCTGCCCCCAACAGCTGAGTAGGCTGAAGTCAAGAATTGAAAGGTAAATGTACGTGTATGTTTACATATGTTTCAAGATTGAATAAAACATGCTAATTGATATTTTATCACACTTTTAATAATACCAGTCAATTGCTATTTATGTAGTTAATTCTTCTACTTAGTCTGACTATAGACAGGTAAAATGAGGAGGAAATAATTTTTTATACATGCAAAGGTTAAATAATTTCTGAGTATGCTCAGAACATTATTTGTAGGTAAACTTGGTAAATGCTTTAGGAACATCATTGGGTTTTACTATCTGAGGTGACCTCAACTAAATCCTCCAAATGCGTATGACAGGCAGAGCTCTGGCACAGAGACTTAGTGCACTGCCTGTAGAAATGGTACAGAATATTTGTACTTGGTATGCCCTTAGTTTGCAGGAGCGGAGAGGTTTAAAAATTCTAAATCCCATAAATAAGTCCAGGAAAGAGGCTCGACAGTGACGACAGTCGTTGCAAAAATGGAAGTCTTCAAGTTTAGGGTGTGTTTTTCCTCTTCCCCTGAAGCATTCACCATACTGCTAATACTTGAAATTTTACAAAAAGAAGTGATGCTGGTTTTGGTTCTCTTTGATATTAGTGATAAAAATCCTATAGCTAGTAGCATTTTCCAGATTTTCATAAGACAATTTCAAAATTCTTATACTAACTGAAGAATGCACTGCTTTTGAAGGTTTGAAAGGCAGTGCTAGGAAATTTGGTAATTACTTTAATGTATATAGTGTATAAAGCATTTTCATGCAGTTTATAGAAACATATCTAATAAGAAGTGTTTTATGCTTATATATACCAGTGCATATGCCCTTTATCTTACATTAGCAGAAAAGCTCAATTGTTCAGGTATAGCCAAACTCACAATAGCTCACTTCTGCATAAATAAATGAACCTTTGTGACATATTGAATAGACAATCAAGATCAAAAGGAAGAAGTATGTGTTATTAAGATGAGAAGATAATGATTTTATTTTTCCTGGTGAAGAAGGTTGCTTTTAAAGTTGACAGGTTGTGGGGATACAATAGTTGGAAGCTGAGATGTAACAGTTGTCTGCATAATGTGAGCTTGTTGAGCAATTGCTCACTTACAAGGTTCTGTTCTTTTTACATTTATAGAATCCATCAAGCAGTTATTGATGTAGAATTTTTGCATAGTTTAACAACCCTGCCAGTCTTCAGATTGATATAACTAGCCCCAGGGGGAATTACAATTGAGAAATGAAAAAAAAATATTATTACTGATATACTATGTAAATACATGATGAAGGGTGGTCAGTGCCGTTGAAGTTTTAAAGCAAAAGTTCTGCATAGTATGGGTTAAGAAGTTTCTCCAATACACTGCTGTAGAAAGCTCTGGCAAGAACAGGATATGCATTTAGTTATTGCGTCCCATTTGGCAAACTATTAAGCTATTATGTAGAATCATACTGGGATCCAGTACCTCAAAATCCCATAATTTAAAACAAAAATTCAAGACCATGCTCTAGGTTCATCACATCTTATGTCTTCAAAAAATTTCTACAAATTATTCTATAAATAAATTTTACAAATATTGCTAATTTTGTATTATTGATCTAATTCAGAAAAGTTAGAAGGCATCAGTGGCAAAAATATGCTGTGATTTGGTATTCTTCAGATGTCACTTGTTTTCTAACAAAATGGAGAAACTTTTTATGTGAAAGAAATTGGGGTGATCTTGATTGAATGAAACTGATTTGCATTTGCAGTTTTTGTGCTGAGTGGTGAACTGTTATCAATCCTATTTTGACCCTGGTAAATTTACCTTCTCTTTTAAATTCTTTCTTTCTTCAAGAGACCTAAAGCATCTGAGAAGACCATTAGAGTTGGACAGACAGTCATCACAAAACATAGAAATACACGATACTATAGCTGCAGAGTGGTGGGAGTGACATCTCAGCTTTTCTATGAAATAATGTTTGATGATGGCTCTTTCAGTCTGGATACTTTTCCTGAAGACATTGTAGTAAGTACTTTCTCAGATACCTATTAGTTCCGGTTTGTTTTCTTGGTTTATGGTTTTGGGTTTTTTGTTTGCTTGGTTTTTGGTTTTTTTTTTCCTGATTTTGATTGTTTTTCTTTTTTAAATTAGAGATTGGGAACCTCTTGAACTACATCTTTTGACCTTGAGGAAATGACTTCTTAATATTCAGTTCATGTTTATTACTTTAACTGCTGAGAATGATTATTTTCTAATGGGCTTCCAAACCTTGGTTGTTCTAATTAGTCTTTACCATTTGACCAAATGAATCAAAAGTAATCTTATAAAATCTTTTAATTAAATAAGAAATATGTATTTAATAAAAGATATGAGAGAGGGAATTCCATATATCCTTCTCTGTCACTAAGAGATAAATTGTAAAAATTCCTTGCAGAATAGAAAACTGCTGTAATGTGAAGAATACCTCTCAAGAATCTGTTCCAACAACTTGTTTACACCTTCTGATGTTTAGTTTGTGAGATTACATTATTCATGATAAAAATCATCAGGGAGAAGATAGTTTATCTATGTGTAGTGTAGTTTATTACATTTTCAAAAAGCAACTGAGATTTTGATTTCCCTTATGCACTTACATAAACTACCATGTTTCTCATAACTAAGAACTACATTGTGCATTTGGCACATATGAACAAAATTTGCAGACAGTTGGGAAAGATTCTGTTTCCCTGCATGTTTGCAATGAATCCATTGGATGCTAAGCTTTGTGGTGTCCGTCGGGTGCCCTTTGGCATCTTTCTCATGATATGACTCTCATCCTTTTTCACCTTCATGATCCTATGAGCGTTTTTTGGGCTGAGCTGATATTTTTTCACGTATCTTCTGGTAATAATCTCTAAGAGTTAGAACCTCCAGGGAACACTGGTATGCAAAAGTGCTGTTTGTTGTTGCAGGACCACTTTTCGCTTAGCCCTGTGTCCTGTTCTGTATGTAAAGGGGAAGAGTTTGGCATTCTCAGCGGTGCCGAAGAATGCATGCTCTGCAGCTCAAGGGGCACAATTCCCAGCAGCACTCCGTATTTTTCTCCTGTGAAAATCTCTGGACTCTTCTGTTTTCTGAACGCCTGATGTTTTCCTAGAAGTAGCATTAACTGACAGATACATCAGTGGAAATGATGCTGTTGTTCTTAAAAGTTTCTTAGTTATTGAAAAATATGATGCCTTTTGAAAATATGGTATTTGAAAGGGTACATTTCATAACAGGGATTGAGCTGTTTACCTCCCACTGGTCTGAATAGAAGTCAGTCAGTAAATTTCTCTTACATGCCTTTGAAAATTTATCCTTTAATTCACAACACTCCAAAAGGCTCCATTAATGATCAAAGACATTCTGATTTAGGATGATCAAGATATTAAGTAAATGTGGCTGTATTGTTATTAGAAACCCCTCTTTTGTTAATGCCTGCATCAAGGATCTGGTAAGGTAGAGATGAGAAACTGCTTACTGCCCTAGTGGGGGAGTCTGATCTGGAGCTAAGAATAAATGTAATCAGGTCTGGATATGCCTCAGTGCTTCTCAGATAGTGGATGAACAACATATAATTGTTTGATGGAAACACCAAACGAATTTCACATTCCTTAGAGAAATCTTGTTGTGTTTTCATTAGATAATATACCTGCAGCAGTTACTGGAAGGGGAAAAAATGTTTTTTCTTCTTCCCAGACTAAAACTTACTAATCCATGCAATGTGTGAATCAGGTGTTAGTGCCTCTGGGAGGACTTATTCATCAAATCTGGTGTGAAAGCAATGTTGCTGCCTATTGAAGAACTTATTTTTCTAATCTGTTTTCACTTTTTAACTAGCTCACAAAGATAGCAGGAGCTTTCTGCTTTTCCAGTATGTGCTGAATCCACTACATAATTTCAGCTCAGCTCACAATAGACCAGAATTCCAATGTTCAGACAGAGTGATTTATTTTTAAGGAGGAAAACAGGAAGCAGGCAAAGTTCAGTCTCGAAGCTTCATGGAACTCTGTTTGCATTCAATAGCAACCAAAGCAGGGTATACATTGTTGTCTTCTCATAGGTATTTCTCTTGGTTTGTGTTAGCATTTGCCAAATATATCATGTGGGAGGTTTTTAAGTGTAAGTGTTAGCTATAGGCATAGATATTTAGATTTTTTTATTTCAACCTTACTTATTGCTTGGGTGCTATACCTGATTTCTACCTTGTCAGAATTTCTTAGACTCATCACTCCTCAATTATTTGGTTTAAACCCATGAGTTGGCTTTTTGTTGTGCTAACCAGTCAGTTTTCCTTCAACCCAGCAGGTATAAGAGGGTGCAAAGAAGTATATGGATAACATTTTTTTTCTGGAAGCAACAGCAGGACAGCTTCCTCTTGTAATTCATGGGAAGACTGCAGTGATGGGGCTAGTGTGTTGTATCTTAAAGGAGGTGAGATGACAAGTTTAGCAGTTAGTTTAACAATGCATGCACACAAGTAGAGAGTGCCTATGCTGCAATCCTGAGTAACTGCTACCAGCAGACAGCATGCGTGTGTGCCACTGGCCACTTCTTAAAGTACTAATGCTCCATAACTTGTCACAGAGCCCCTAGCTTAGCTCAAGAGGAGTACTGCCCTGTCCAGCAGGACAGAGGTCAGTACACAGAGTATGCATCAGGAAATTTTTCAGTTCTTTGGCCTGCTCATTTAGGGAGAGTGTCCCACAGTCCTTTTTTTAATTTTTTTCCTCCTGTTGATACCTGATGGACTTATCTCCACTGGCATATCTTAGGAGATTGCTAGAAATTATTACTCTGGGTATATAGCAAGGAGTTGTATTTGGTTTTGTATATATTGTGGTGGTCAAGATGCCTTAACAGCAAATATAATTAAAATATATATGCATATATATGTGTCATAGTTTGAAATTGGCCCCCCTTGAGAGTTCGAGGGGCTCAGAGGTGATTGGGTGCCAGGACAGTGTTCCCTGGAGAGCCAATCACCACTCAAGTCGTTCGCTTCTGCTCAAAATCGTATATCACAGCACTGGAAATGGTTGGCATTGCAGTCTTGGTTGTTTTGCTGTTGGTGTCTGCGGCGTGTAGGTGGACAAGGCCAGGGGTGGCTGGGCTCCCTCTCATCCCCTCCGGTGGGGAGAGGGGAGCCCTGTGACCCCCCAGCTCAGCCTTTGGCTAGAATTAGAGTCAGCATTTGGAGTGTATGCTGTGAAGGAAGAGATTCACAGCACCTGAGGTAAGAGAAGAGAGGCAGGCTTTGCAGCCAAGCCTTCTTCCCCCTCCTTTTCTGCAGTGAAGCTTTAGAGGGAGGCTTTTCTTTCCCTCCACTGTGAGTGGAGGAAGGGCTCAGCGTTGGAGCTGAGCCAGGAGACTGGGCCGTGGAGGTAGGCCCGGCGCTCGGGAGAGGAGTCCCAGGCGAAATTGGAGACAGGCCAAGAGAGGCTCGGGAGTTGCCTGCCGAAGCTGACCGGAGGCAGCCAAAAACTGACTTAGAGGAATGAAGATTCCAGGACGCGTACGCTTGATAAGCTACGCTGCAGCAGCTTACGAACTGAGGTGGGACACTGAGAGGGAGAGATCACCAGCAGCAGGAGAGCAAGGACTCAAAGCTATTTTCTCAGACTTCATGAGGAAGAGAGACTACAACAAACTGCTGGAATTTGGTGAGGAGGGAGTGCTCAGGAGCCCAGAACACTCCCACGGCAAAAGACTGTATTACATATCAGCCTTAAAGGCTGCTCCTGGACTAAAGTTAAAGGAGGGGCTTGAAAGGACTGACTGATAGTAATGTATATATATATATATAGTTGCCTTTAGTTTGTATAGTATTTATTTGTGTAAATAAATGTATATACTTCCCCCTTCCCCTACAGAAGCCTCTGACCTGAAAGTTTCTCTCCGGTGTTAGGATAAATTGTTGAGAAGGGGTAGGGGAAGCTTGGAAGTTGGATTTTAGATTTCTAATGTAGCTCAAACTGCTACAATATGTAAGCTAGAATTAGACCTGTGGATGAAGTTGTTTCCATATTGCCTTATTAAAATGACAGCAGAACAAGGGAGACTTTGCAGTATACATGGGTGGGGGCAGAAAGATACCACCAAATTATATCGATTTCAAGGAAGAAAAAAGATAATTGCAGAGTGAAGCATGCTTTGAGTCTGTAGAGAGTTCTGATTACGGGAATGCTGAGCACATATCTCCTGAAGTGGTAAACATCCTTCCAGGCCACTTGCTCCACTAAATGCCCTGGTCTTTCAGTGACAAATTTACACAGAATTCTTCAATATGGTTTCACCTTGTGGTTATCAAGCAAACTAGGTGAAAAAAATGAGTGTAATTACTCTTGCTTCCATGACAGTTAACCACATTGTATTTTAGTTTACTAGTAAGTATATAAATGTAGGGGTTATCCATTAAAAAGGTAAAGCTAGTCTGTGGGTAGTCATGTCCACAACCCAAAATGGACTTCACTTATTTAAGTCTATAAATTGAATAACATCATAAATAATATTGTAGGTTATGGAATGCTCCTGTAAATATTCCTTACAAGCAAGAGCATCTTAAATGTTGAGGATATGAGATGTATTTGGAGGAACAATTGGTCCTGTGTTCAGGAGTTCATGAGGTTTTTGTGGAACCACATTATAGTAATTTTCTGAGATCCTGATAAAATCCAAAAAGCATCCTCTTGAAAGAAGTATATATTAGTTCAGGTTAAGACATTCCGATTGCAGCTGCCAAAAGCAGGAATGAGAATTATTTTTCACAGAATCATTTAGGTAAGAAAAGACTTTTAAAGTCGTTGAGTCCTACCATTAACCTAACACTGCCAAGACCACCACTAAACTATGTCCATAAATGCCACCTCTGCATACCTTTTAAATACAGCCAGGGTTGTTGACTCAACCACTTTCTTGGGCAGCCTATTCCAGTGCTCGATAACCCTTTTGATGAAGAAATTGTCCCTAATCTCTAATCTAAACCTCACCTAGTGCAACTTGAG